CCTTTGCATGTGATTTGTTTCTTTTCTCTAACAGCTTGTAGTATTTTGTTCTTCTGTTGGGTTTCTGGGATCTTGACTATTATATGTCTAGGTGAAGTTATTTTTTTAATCATGGTTAGTTGGAGTCCTATATACTTCACTTATCTGTATGTCAAATTCTTCCCCTCTGTTTGGGCAGTTTTCTGTCATTAATTCTGTGAACCTCTTTTTTAAGTCATTTGTACTTTCTTCTCCAACTACACGGTTTCATATCAGTCTTATGTTATTCTTTTTAACATAATCTAGCAGTTTTTGGATCAATTTCTCATGATCTTTTACTTTTTCTAAGAGACCTCTCTTTCATGGTCACTGAAATCCTATCCTCTATATCTGATATTCTATCCTCACATTTTTTATCATGCTGTAAATGCTTTCAATAGAGTTTTTAATCTACTGGATATCTGTTTGAATCTGTTTCATGGATTCCATTTCTTTCCTATGTTGGGCATTTATTGTTTGCATTTCTTTCTTTTGCTGGAACTTCATAGATTCTATCATGGTCCTGAGCTCATATATTATTTTGTCAGTTTCTGTTCTACAGTCTCTAATCTCTAATCACGTTTTTCATTTTACTCACCATCTCTATGGTTATCTGGGAAATTATTTCTTTTTTGAATTTTTCTAGAGCCTGATTGATCTGATATGTTACTTTCTGTGCTATGAGTTCAGTGTGTTCTGATTGCTCACTGTCAAACTTTCAACCTCATTTGCCCTAGAGTTTGCTGTTGGTGAACTGGAAGTCTGTCTTTGTGTCTTGCTTAAGTGTTTTCACATTTTTTTGTTGTTGTTTGGTTGTCCTTAGTTTAGTTCCTGGATTATTACTTAAATCTTCCTGACATAGTTGTGCTTTAGCTTTTGATTCTCTAAAGACTCATACACATTCTTATTTTCATAATATCAGAAAGGGTAACTCATTAAATTAATCACAACCCTTTAGCCCAATTGATATAATCAGCAACACAATAACATCAAGCACAGTTTAAAAATTGACCATTTGTGGTAGTCATTAAGCTAGCACCTTTAAACCATTTGAATTAAGTCAAAATGAAGGAGTACCCCAAAATATGTTTACAGTATATAAACTCTTTAATATAGCAACTTTACCCTTCAGGATGGGGACTTAGAAGGAGTTAAAAGGATAGGAATAGATAGGTAGAAGAATTGGAGAAGGTTTCTAGTGAAGCCAGAGGACAAAAAATGACCACACAAATTTGGGTAACTTTTGAAGACAAGAGGGAAAGACAGAGTGCAAGAATAAGAACAAGATTAAAACAATTTAACAGTAATAGGTGCTCACTTTCCTTTGAAACTTGTGTGAAGGAAAAAGAGAGACAAAAATAAAAGAAAAATAAAAAAGAAAACAAAAAAAGAAGGAATCTGAGTTAGAGCAGGAACACAACAGAAAGAGAGACGAAGGATAATATGGGGGAGCAAGAGACTAAGTTGGAAAAATAAGACAGAAAAAAGAAAGAATGTGCACAATGGAATAATGAAAAGGAAGAAGAAAAAGAATTTGAAGGGCCTATTTCAGTCTATATTTCTGCTGTTACAATAGACAATGTGCACAGCCATGTCTATTGGCTAAGCCCTTTAGTCTTAGCTATCTGATGGCAGACACCTGAGATTCAGGCTGAATCTGGGCTGCAAGGCCCAAACTGAGCTCCCTGACCTCCTGCAGGGTTTAACTCTGCAAGGTTCTAATACAGGCTTCTGAAGATATTCAAAGTTCTGATGGGTGGTGGTGGTGATACCTCCAACTTACCAACAATGGAGGTCTGATTTGCCTTTATTGCAGTTGTTCACCTATGTTCTATCTTCTGGAGCTCAGAAAATGATATTTATGACCAGCCGGGTATCTGCAGAGTGGATCCAAGAACTGGTATAATCAGGAGGCTTGAGAGCATGGGGGACTGTGTGGATGTTGCAGAGGCACCCGCACTGCTAACTGTTCCTCACTGGTCCACTTGAAACAGTCCAAAGCAAGGATGGAATCTCTGCATTGCTGACCCTGTCCTCCACATTCCACTGGATCTTCCTTCAACCTTTTATCTTGTTTTTTTCTTTGTACTTGTGATCACACTCTGGACCTTGTGCCTTTTGAGGCAGGCAGCAGAATCACTGAGCTAAATCCCTGGCCCGCTTTTAATCTTTCTTCATATGGATGTTTGAGGGTGTATCTTTGTTTGCAAGAGTATTAACCTTAGACACTAAAGTTTGTGTATTCTGAAAATCTTGATTTGTAAAAGACTTTTAATACACTTTATTAGTGTATTAAGTGATTATACATAAATTGTGCAACACTTAAAGGACAATTTTATAACAATAGAGATATATGCGTCAGTATCTCTTCAGGCTTCTATGTCACCATCTTGCACATGCCAAAGATAAACAGCAGGATTTCTTAGCAATCTGTAAAGGTGAAAGCAAAGAAAGTGATAGAAGTGTTTAACTATCACATTATAAACACAAAATGACAAACACAAAGCAACTTGCTCCAGAGTAAATACTGTATTCATACTTTTTAATACATTTCTTAGGCTCCCTTTGTGTGTTAGCCAGCTTTCTGTTACTGTAACAAATACCTAAGATAAATCAACTTATAAAGACGAAAAACGTTGTTCTGACTCACAGTTTCAAAATGTCGTAGCCTATGGTCATTCAGTCCTGCTACTTTGGGGCCTGTGACCATGCAGCACATCATGGTAGCAATGTGTGACAAAACTGTTTACCTCATGGCAACAATGCAAAAGAGAGAGAAGATAATAAATGTTGAATTTAGGAGATAGATTTCAGGATATTTGTACAAAAGCAAAGAATTACAAAGGATAATTGAAAAATAAACACATTTATTGAAGATCATGGGAGGTGGTGTTCATAGCAAGTCTTGGAATGAACAGAAAGGTGGTGCTGGGGTAACAGGATAGCAAACATATTGCACACAGACCAGCCCTTCAGAATTTAAAGGATATGCACTGAGGTGCCTTCCCTGAATCTCTAGGAATAACTGACGCAAATGATTGACAGGGTGCTGAGTCATTTCAGGGACTGGCAAAATGCATACTTGTCCAGAATTTACTCTGATCTTAATTACATGCATGACATGTAGTACATATTCATGAACCTTAATGAGGCTGGAGTAGGGTGTACGTGACTTAAGATCAGTCTAGGAGATCAAAGGTGCAGGTACCTAGAACATCAGAGATCTGATTTTCTACCCTCTTAAATCAATGAGAGGAGACTGGCCTTAGGGTGCTGTTTAGAATTAAATTGGTAGAAGGAAGTAACTATCTCAGTTTGATTATTTCTAACTCTACTAAGAGAAGAAGACCAGAGTATACAGAGTGTAACAATTTTTATTAAGGATGTAATGACCCAACACCTTCCACTAGGCCCTATGTCTCCTACCAACTCCCAGAAGTATCAAGTTGAGGACCAACTTTTAACACATAGACTTTTGGGGGACATTCCAGAGCCAAACTCTAACGCTTTTATTAAATCTAACACTCACCTTATTAAATATAAGAATAGTAGTAAACATCCAATGAATTACCATTAGGTCAGGAATACTTGAAAAAAATTTGCAATTCAATGTTGATACAGTATTGAATTTATTAGCTCCTGAAGTAGCTAATTAAGCTTAAAAATTGGGTCATTGTTAATTACAGTTGAAATTCATTATGCCTATTGGACTATACATAAAAATCAAGATGACAGAAAAATATGTATGAGACATATGAAATTAAACTCTGTTCTTAAAACTATTGGATTGTGAATATTCAATAATGTAAATTATCCATTATTTTAATTCTTTAAATTTGGAGCACAGTGATTTTTTTTGTTTTATTGATATTTAACCATTAAATTAAATATATATAAGATATATAAGTGCAGGTAAAATGGTATTCATTGTTCATTTTATATATATATATCATCTAAAAATTATGTAAAGCCAACATTGTAGATTGATTAGAATTAACTTTATATAAAAGGGAGCTAGAACTTATGTAGCTATGTGTAGCTTTAACTCATATAGAGTAAGACTTGTCCCAAAAAATAATAATTGTGCAAATATGTGGTGAATCATATATGAATAAAGGAGAATGAGAAGTGGAGAAATGAAGCATTATTTCCTGTCTTCTACTAACATCATGAAATTTTTAAAATATCAATGGATACAAGTCGACAGTGTGTGTAATGTTGTGTGCTTCTTAAAGAGTTTCAAAATTATATATGAGTAAAATTAACCCAAGAACATCTTCATGACTGAATCTGATATAATTTTGCAGTCATCTATAATAATCCCTGGTAGTCTATGAGGTCTATTCTTTAATTCCTGAAATATTTCTTTCACGACTTTAGTCAGGTATTAAAGCCTAGATGGGTTAATGAAACAAGGGATTTTAAATAAAAAATATTTAAGTAAAATATTTATAAAATGTTTAAGTTAAAAAATGAATAGTTTTGGGAAAAATGTTGAATTTCAAATGCAAATGGAAATAGTTCTCTAAAAGCCGTTACATTTTGATGTTAAAACAAAAGCATACAACTAGCCTTTTCAAAACCAGAAATCAATTTGCTTTCTTGTTTTTAATGAGTAAAATAACTATTTATGAAAAATGCCTGGGGAGAGTTTTCCAAATTATATGAAATTATAGTGCAGATAAGTTTGCAAAACAAATGAATAATAAAAAAAAAAACTTGTGATCACACTCTGGACCTTGTGCCTTTTGAGGCAGGCAGCAGAATCACTGAGCTAAATCCCTGGCCCGCTTTTAATCTTTCTTCATATGGATGTTTGAGGGTGTATCTTTGTTTGCAAGAGTATTAACCTTAGACACTAAAGTTTGTGTATTCTGAAAATCTTGATTTGTAAAAGACTTTTAATACACTTTATTAGTGTATTAAGTGATTATACATAAATTGTGCAACACTTAAAGGACAATTTTATAACAATAGAGATATATGCGTCAGTATCTCTTCTGGCTTCTATGTCACCATCTTGCACATGCCAAAGATAAACAGCAGGATTTCTTAGCAATCTGTAAAGGTGAAAGCAAAGAAAGTGATAGAAGTGTTTAACTATCACATTATAAACACAAAATGACAAACACAAAGCAACTTGCTCCAGAGTAAATACTGTATTCATACTTTTTAATACATTTCTTAGGCTCCCTTTGTGTGTTAGCCAGCTTTCTGTTACTGTAACAAATACCTAAGATAAATCAACTTATAAAGACGAAAAACGTTGTTCTGACTCACAGTTTCAAAATGTCGTAGCCTATGGTCATTCAGTCCTGCTACTTTGGGGCCTGTGACCATGCAGCACATCATGGTAGCAATGTGTGACAAAACTGTTTACCTCATGGCAACAATGCAAAAGAGAGAGAAGATAATAAATGTTGAATTTAGGAGATAGATTTCAGGATATTTGTACAAAAGCAAAGAATTACAAAGGATAATTGAAAAATAAACACATTTATTGAAGATCATGGGAGGTGGTGTTCATAGCAAGTCTTGGAATGAACAGAAAGGTGGTGCTGGGGTAACAGGATAGCAAACATATTGCACACAGACCAGCCCTTCAGAATTTAAAGGATATGCACTGAGGTGCCTTCCCTGAATCTCTAGGAATAACTGACGCAAATGATTGACAGGGTGCTGAGTCATTTCAGGGACTGGCAAAATGCATACTTGTCCAGAATTTACTCTGATCTTAATTACATGCATGACATGTAGTACATATTCATGAACCTTAATGAGGCTGGAGTAGGGTGTACGTGACTTAAGATCAGTCTAGGAGATCAAAGGTGCAGGTACCTAGAACATCAGAGATCTGATTTTCTACCCTCTTAAATCAATGAGAGGAGACTGGCCTTAGGGTGCTGTTTAGAATTAAATTGGTAGAAGGAAGTAACTATCTCAGTTTGATTATTTCTAACTCTACTAAGAGAAGAAGACCAGAGTATACAGAGTGTAACAATTTTTATTAAGGATGTAATGACCCAACACCTTCCACTAGGCCCTATGTCTCCTACCAACTCCCAGAAGTATCAAGTTGAGGACCAACTTTTAACACATAGACTTTTGGGGGACATTCCAGAGCCAAACTCTAACGCTTTTATTAAATCTAACACTCACCTTATTAAATATAAGAATAGTAGTAAACATCCAATGAATTACCATTAGGTCAGGAATACTTGAAAAAAATTTGCAATTCAATGTTGATACAGTATTGAATTTATTAGCTCCTGAAGTAGCTAATTAAGCTTAAAAATTGGGTCATTGTTAATTACAGTTGAAATTCATTATGCCTATTGGACTATACATAAAAATCAAGATGACAGAAAAATATGTATGAGACATATGAAATTAAACTCTGTTCTTAAAACTATTGGATTGTGAATATTCAATAATGTAAATTATCCATTATTTTAATTCTTTAAATTTGGAGCACAGTGATTTTTTTTGTTTTATTGATATTTAACCATTAAATTAAATATATATAAGATATATAAGTGCAGGTAAAATGGTATTCATTGTTCATTTTATATATATATATCATCTAAAAATTATGTAAAGCCAACATTGTAGATTGATTAGAATTAACTTTATATAAAAGGGAGCTAGAACTTATGTAGCTATGTGTAGCTTTAACTCATATAGAGTAAGACTTGTCCCAAAAAATAATAATTGTGCAAATATGTGGTGAATCATATATGAATAAAGGAGAATGAGAAGTGGAGAAATGAAGCATTATTTCCTGTCTTCTACTAACATCATGAAATTTTTAAAATATCAATGGATACAAGTCGACAGTGTGTGTAATGTTGTGTGCTTCTTAAAGAGTTTCAAAATTATATATGAGTAAAATTAACCCAAGAACATCTTCATGACTGAATCTGATATAATTTTGCAGTCATCTATAATAATCCCTGGTAGTCTATGAGGTCTATTCTTTAATTCCTGAAATATTTCTTTCACGACTTTAGTCAGGTATTAAAGCCTAGATGGGTTAATGAAACAAGGGATTTTAAATAAAAAATATTTAAGTAAAATATTTATAAAATGTTTAAGTTAAAAAATGAATAGTTTTGGGAAAAATGTTGAATTTCAAATGCAAATGGAAATAGTTCTCTAAAAGCCGTTACATTTTGATGTTAAAACAAAAGCATACAACTAGCCTTTTCAAAACCAGAAATCAATTTGCTTTCTTGTTTTTAATGAGTAAAATAACTATTTATGAAAAATGCCTGGGGAGAGTTTTCCAAATTATATGAAATTATAGTGCAGATAAGTTTGCAAAACAAATGAATAATAAAAAAAAATAAATGAAACAATCTTTGTTATGGCTTGGTTTGTAATGGCTCATAAGTATGTCAAAATTACATTATAGGAAGCCATACAATTTCAGTAAAGGCAGTTTATAATACTGTTTTAGTCATTGGGAAGTAATTTAATGTATGGAAATTTCCTTGTTGAAATCCAATTTCAGTTATAATCCAAACTTAATGCAAGGAATTTCTTTTTTTTTTTTTTTTAAGTCTGCTGAAGTTTCTCTACTCACTTGACACAACCTAGTTTGACTGGAATCAAACGGCACTTTAGCTCAGATCTTTTCCATGCAATATTTTGAAGAATTATTGAGCATGATGATGATAGAATTTTAGGGAGTATTATTAACTTTTTTGTGCCATTCTTTGTTGAAAAATAGTAGACAAATTACTTGGGAAATAAATTATTTTTAAGAGGAAAAAAACTTAATTCACTTTCTCATAAAGTAAGAAATGATTTGTTTTGAAGAGAAATGAGACTCTGGGAAATTTGGTTATATAAAAATTAACCAAGGATTTAAATATATTCTAAGAGTTGACAAATTGGCAGTATTTTAACAGTAACAATTACTGGTAAATAAAGCAGAGTCATTTCAAATCAGAGAAGGGATAAGCCAGGAGTAGTGGCAAATGCCTGTAATCCCAACACTCAGGAGGCTGAGGCAGGAGGATCACTGTGAGTTCGAGACCAGCCTGGGCTACATAGTGAGTTCCAGGTCAATCTCAACTATATGGTGAGACCCTGTCTCAAAAACAAAACAAAGGAGATAAATGTGTAGGGAAGGTGGGATGGGTAGGGGAAGGGTAATAAGGGAAAAGAAAAAAATGTGAGAAAATGAAAAGATGAAAATAAAGTGTTTGTAGATGGGGAGGGGAGGAGGCGGTGAAGGCAGGGCAGGGGTAAGGGGAAAAAATGAGAATCAAGACTTGTCATGTAGAGGTACAAGATCCCAACAATGAAGGTAACTGTACTGTATCCCTAAAATGTACCAATAAACTCAAAGCTGAAAAAAATTAAAAACAAAACAAACAAAACGAACAAACAAAAAACAGATCAGAGAAGGGAGTAAGGAAAGTACAATGGATGATGCACAAAGGAAGGAAACAAGGGAGGAAATAACTTCATAGTGAGTTGGTGATCTTTAATTTCACTGTGATTCAATTTGTTCAGGTTTAGAACTATGGACTCAGTCAGCTAAAGATTAAGAACTGATAAAATTTTCTTCTCTGTTAATTACAAATATTTCTTTAGGTGAATCTACCACCATGAAGAAGGTGGGAGCTATGAAGATGTCTCTTAAATTATTGGAAGTGAGAAAAACTAAAATGGGTATAGAATTTCCTACATACCACAGATGTGCATTTAGTTTTCATTATTTTGGCTATTGAACATAAATGACATTTTACTCAATTCAATGTTTTCAGATAATTGGAGTTCACCAAAACCTTTCAGTAAACTGAGTTATTTTATTCCAGGAACTCAAGAGCAATTCATACTGAAGTACTAATTTTATTGTCATTCCTATAGAAAAGAAAAAATCAATTTCCTCACAAGTACCATAGTAGCACATACACCTGGGTTCTTGCTTTCATCTATTTCTCAAAAGAGGCCAAAGAGAAACATATTTGTAATAATAGAAATAGAAACTGTGATTTCATCAGAAGACTTAGAAAATACAATTCCCTCTATTATTCACAATATTTTTTTGAGTTACAGATACAAGTTTTAATACTTTCTAGAACAGAAATAGTCTGTAGCACTATAGATAAATAAATCTTAGTAGAACTAATAAGCCTTTTAAAAATTTTAAGTTCATTCAAGTGTATATTCAGAATACTAGATGAAATTAATAAATGTAAGTTTGCTTTTAAATAAATTTACATGGCTTTATACTCGCAATATTTAGCTCTATGTCTCTAAATAAGATACTTGTTTTGTTTATAGAAAATATTTTATTTTCAATCTAACATTATTTAAGTATATTCTGTTATGGAAAACATGAATTTTACTCTATACCCAAATATTTTCCAATTCCAGCTCTCCTTGTCCCTTTCCTTCTTCTCCATATTAATACAAGATATATTATAAACATAATATTTTAAAAATATATACATGTTTGTTAACTCAATATTTAGTTCTTACATCATTAGACCTATATAAATGATAGTCTAGCTAAAGAATACATTATATGTATATGGTTACTTTTCTTTTTGTATGGAATTTTTATTTCCAGAGTCAACGAGTAGAACTGTTATCATTTTAGATTATTTTCCTGTGTATCATTCATCCAGTCTTAAAGTTCACTTAGTTACTTTTTAATTGTAGAGACACAGTAACCTGACTCCCACAGTGCTAAGGAGGAAAGGTTTATTTTGGTTTACAGTTTGTAGAGGTTTCAGTGCATAGAAGATTGGCAGGGTGGCATGGCAGAGGAGGACCAGCTCATGGCATAGGAGACAGGAAGCAGAGAGAGACATCAAGGAATGAGAGAGGGAGATTTACTCTTCCAGGCCAAACATCTAGTGACCCACCTTCTTAATCATGCTTTACCTTCCAACATCACTTTTGGCTATAATCTTATTAGTGGAATAATCCACTAATGAATAAAACCTTCCAAAAGTGCCACCTTTGAGTGCATGAGGCTGTGGAGGAAACCTCTAGATATAAATTATAACGTAGTCCTCCTATGTAAAAACTATAAATGATTTGTAATTATAGGAAAAGAAAAGGTAAAATTATGATTTGGCAGAGGATATAATTCCATATATATTTATTCAGATGATCTGGTTTTGTCATGGGACTTTTAGTGGTTTGTTTCTTACAAAAGTCAAATATGTATGCCCTAAATTACTAATAGTATTTTAATATGATTTGTACAAAGTCCATGGGGTGTGTAGTAGTAGCTCTGATTTATTTTAGTAATTTGTGTCTTCTGTTTTTGGTTAATTAACCTGGCAAGTGGCTTATCAATTTTAATAGTCCCTTTAGACAACAAACTCATTAATTAATTTTTTGTTTTCAATTTAG